TTTTTTGTTTCCTTCTTTTTTCTGATTCTTTCTCTAATGGATGAGTATTGAGAAGTTGCCTTTCAGATCAACAGTTCTGTATTCAATTTCTTTAGTTTTGTTCTTTTTCCTTCCAGTATGTTAATCTGTTTCTTCAATCTTGGTCTCAGTATTCAGAATTTCACTTTGGTGGTTTGGTATTGCTTCTCACTTTCCATTTATTTTATCTATTTGGTATTTCATCACAACAAGTTGTGGCTAAGATTGAGAAGGAGAATCCCAGAAGATTTGATTGTGTTCAAATCCTGGTCTGTACTGAGACCAGGAAGTTGTTGTACAAACAGAGGAGGGAACACCGTATTGTTCAAAATCAGGAACGGAGTGCATCGGGATTTATCCTTTCTCCACACCCTTTCAATCTATATGCAGAACAGGTCATCCAGGAAGCTGGACTTTATGAAGAAGAATGTGGCATAAGGTTTGGAGGAAGATTCATCAACAATGTGCATTATGCAGATGATAAAATTATGCTTACCAAAACTGAGAAGGACTTGAATCATTTGCTCTAGGAGGTCAAGGACTGCAGCCTTCAATATGGATTGCCTCTCACCATTAAGAAAACAAAGCTTCTCACCACTGGGCCAGTTAGCAACATCATGATCCACAATCATCACTCTTGGCACCAGCAGTTAGGCAATTAAAAGATGAGTTGCTTTAGGAAAAACTGTTGTCGGGGACCTCTCCAGAATGCTAAAGAGCAGTTATTTCATTCTAGAGACTCAGTTGCTTGTATGCATCTGAGAGCTGGACAATGACTAAGGATGACAGAAGAATTGATGCCTTTGAGCAGTGGTGCTGAAGGAGAGTCTTGAACATAGACTGCCAGGAGAACAAACAGGTCTGTCCTAGAGAAGGTGGAACCAGGTTGCCCCTTAGGGGCAAGGACTTTGAAACTCTGTCCCACACACTTTGGATGTGTTTCTACAAGGGACCAGTCCTTGGAGAAGGACATCATGCTTGGAAGTGTGGAAGGACAGTGCAGGAGAGGAAGACCTTGGATTGGCACTGTAACTGGGGTAATGAGGTCATGTGTGATGGTGAGATTGCCTCAAGATAGGGCAGGGTTCATTGCTATTGTATAAAGGGTTGCTATGTATTATACTGGACTGGACAGAACATAACACCAACTTTCGGTCTTTCATAGTGTTTTGAATTCTGTTTTCTGTGTTTTTCTTAATCTACAGAAGAGACTTTGAGTAATGGTCTCTTTAATTCTTTATCAGGAAGCTCAAATAGCCTTTCTTCCCATGAAAGATTTTCTTGTTCTGTATTTTAGTCAGTTTTTTTGTTCCATTTTTGCCTGAGGTTTTTTCAGGCTGGTTTGGTGTTATTTGTTGCCTCCTGGACATTTGCAGTGCTCTTGTCTTTGTGGATGGAGACAAGACGTCTATCCTGGAGGTGTATGTTGAGGAGTGGGTACCCAATCTGTGGCAGAGTTTCTCCTGGCCTCAGAGTGTGTGCCAGGAATCATGCCTTTGCCAATCTGAGGAATGAGTGTGGGCAGGTGTCTAACCTCATGGATGATCTGTTCAGCATATAGATTGAAAGAAAATGGAGCGAGGACACATTCCAGGTGTACACCCTTACCAATTTTGAACCATGCTGTGTTTCCTTGCTCCATTTTGACAGCTGCCTCCTGGTCCAAGTATAGATTTCACATAAACACAATCAAATGTTCTGAGATTCCCATTCTTCTCAGAGTTAAGCCACAGTTTGTTGTGATCCACACAGTCAAATGCCTTTGCATAGTCAATGAAGCACAGACGTTCTTCTGGTACTCTCTGCTTTCAGCCAAGAGCCATCTAACATTAGCTACAGTATCCCTAATACCATGACCCCTTCTAAGCCCAGCCTGCATGTCTGGCAGTTCTCTGCTGATGTGTGGTTCCAGATTTTTTTTTTCTAATTTTCAACATAATCTTGCTTGCATGTGATATTAATGATATTCTATAATTTCCACACACTGTCAGGTCATTTTTTCTTTTGAATGAGAACAAATATGGATCTCTTCCAGTCAGTTGGTCAGGTGGTAGTCCTCCAGATTTCTTCACACAACCTTGTGAGCACATCTAGGGCAGCATCTATTTGTTGAAATATATCAGTTGGTATGCTGTCAATTCCTGGGGCCTTATTTTTGCCAATTCCTTCAGAGCAGCTTGAACTCTTTCCTTCATCACCATAGGCTCTTGCTCATATGTTGTTTTATGAAATTCTTCTGTGTCTGCCAATTCCTTTTGGTACAGTGACTTTGTATACTCTTTCCATCTTCTTTTAATGCTTCCTGGATCATTTAACATGCTGCCCAAAGCTGCTTCTATTATTGCAACTCAAGGCTTGAATTTGTTCTTCAATTCCTTGAGCTTAAGAAATGCCAAGCAAGTTTAGCCCTTTTGACTCCAGCTCTTTGCTAAAAAAAAAAATAATAAATCACACCCTCAGGAACCAAAGTTTGACCTTGAGTCTATCCCACTTGACTTTCAGAACTATTTCAGGAACATGGTTGAGGCCTTGAGCCAGATGAGCTGTTGAGCTGTGTGGGGATATCAAGAACATTATCCATGATGAAAGCAAAAGATCTTTTCAAAGACAGAGGAGGAAGAAAAGACGAAAATGGATGTCAGACCAGACTCTGAATATTGCATTAGAGTACCAAGAAGCCAAAGCAAAGGGAAGAAATAAATAAAGGCACTGAACAGAGATTTTAAAGGGCTTCACAGGAAGACAAAGTAAAGTATTACAATAAAAGGTGCAAAGAGCTAGAGTGTTATTGTTACTCTTTGTAAAAAGAACAAAGGCCTTGTGGGAATGGCCCTATCAGACCTTTTACCAACTCCACAAAGGGAAATTGTCCCAGTCAACAGCATCAGCAACACAAAACCAATTCCCAGAAAATCAGGCATGTCCCTCACACTCACATACCTCTTTTTAATCACATGAGCACCAATCTTCCTGCTTTACTGAGTCCAAAATCCAATGTGATAACTCACAGACCACACAGAATCACACCAGGAAGGGAAAAGGTTATAATCCCAGTAAGCAGCATAATACAGTCAGGTGGCTTCTAAAATGTGCTTGCAGACCTTGAGCCTTGCTACTCTAGGCCAGCATTACAAAGTTCTTAGTCCTGCCAGTATTGGCTTCCCCTCCTTGCTTACGTCCACCCAAGGCCAGCCCCAGCTCATGTTGGCTCTCTCGTTCTCTGCTTCAGCCATGGCTGTTGCTAAGTCTAGCTGGTACAAGAATGTCTGGTTCTGAAGGGCATCAACTGCATACCTACTTCTCCTTTGCTGGTGGTGAGAAGTTCTCTCTGATGCTGGATCCATTCAATTTAATGGCAATTCAATCCCCTTGTGGTTTGGTGAGACTAGTCAATCCCCTTGTGGATAGTTGACAAGCCCTATTCGCATATTCCCACCCATCCACGTGTCAAAGACAAATTCAGTAGCTAGGAAAGTCATTTTAAATGATAAACACCACACTCTTACAAGTCTGTCTATTGTTTGGTTAAAGTTGAGCCAAAGAGTAATTTGGTTCTAGGTTCAAGGGTGGCTTAGGGCCATGGAGTTCCAGCAGGGTTCCAGCAATCTCTGTCAGACCAGTAAGCCTGGACTTTTTTTATAGTTCCATGTTCCCTCTGCTCTATCCAGGACCTCCTAGCGTGATCTCTTTTAGAGTAATCAGCAGTGGTAACTGGGTACCATCATCTAGTTCTGTTCTCACAGTGAAGTTCTCTTGGTCTGTTAGTCCTTTGGGCTTATTGTTTTGGTATATACTGGCTTTTCTTTCCTTTTCTTTGTTCTAGACAGGAAGAAACTTTTACTGTCAGATTGTCTTCCTGATGAGCACAACAGCTCTTCAGCAGTAATCGAAGACCACATTTCTTTATAGTCTATTTAATACTCTATGATGACTTTTATGTTAGGAACTCATAGGAGTTTTCTCCCAGTATCACTAAAATGCACTTTCCCAATTCTCTTTTCAGTGATGTAAGCTTATAAATTGGTGCCTTTACACATGCACACACACACACACACACACACACACACACACACACACACATGCATGCACACACAGATGCACAGACTTAATACAAATACTAAAAAGATCACAAACTTCTCCATATTGAACATCTGAACTATCACCTGATATGGAACATAGCCTTAGATTAAAATTCAGTCACCATCTTTCTCTCTCAGATCCACTGGTGCTTTGAACTGCCAGAGAGGGGTGGCTTTCAGGTCAGCAGCAGCAAACCCCTATAAAACTATGCACCACCGGAGCTTCCCAAATCCCTGGAAAATGTTTTTTCAACTTTGTCCATAAATTAAAGTTCCAATCTAATCACAGCAAAATGCCTGTAAGTGAAATTAATTGATATTTATACTGATGATTTAGTTAAAAGAAATACTGAAAATACAATTTATCTTGAGTGACAATAATGAATCTTGAATGACAATAATGAAGTTATATTAGAAAAATATGATTGAAACACTTCATTTTGAGGAAGTAATTGCTAATTTTTTTTATTGGTTATTTTTAGAACATGATGCTGGAGATGGAGTTCTGAACCCAGAAGAGATAGGCATGCCTTTAGAATTAAAATGGGCATCTGGATCAGAAAATATGAAATTAAGTGAAAGAGAAAGAGAAATAGACAATTCAACAAACCATTTAAAGATACATCCTCAGAAGCTTTGGGAAGAGGGAGCTGAATTGCCTCCAATTTATAGCTCTGTAGCACCAACTAGTGGACATTTGCTAAGCAATGAAGAGAAAACAGAAATGGATGTGAATTTGTTTATAAAATCCCACAGTCACCTACCACCTCAAACTGAGCCGATGGGAAATGTGAGACCACTTCATGGAGTCACCCCTGTAAAGCTGTGTCGCAAAGAGTTACGTCAGATTTCTGCCTTGGAACTCTCCTTACGACGCTCCAATCTTGGAGCAGGGGTTCGATCAATGACTGCTGACTCCCTTGAGATATCAAAGAAACCGAGTGACTTGAAAACCTAACTATTTAATAATGAGATTTTTAACTTAGTAGATATGTAAAAGAAGATCCCATGTTCTAATCTGTTAAATATTGAAACGTAAGCTCACTAAATCTCTCAGGATAAAGAAAGATGGAGTTCCAGTCCTTTCACATATTACAGATGTGTTCATCTTACATGGTGTATTTGGGAAGTTTTACTGTATATTTCATAATAACTAAAGGAACACATGTTTCCCATTGATTTATAACATTTAAATATTTCAATTTTAAATTTGCTTAACATTTTTTCCATGCATATTTGAAGAAAAAACTGCTAAGGGTAGAATAACCCATCAAATGCATCCACTTCCTAAATAACATGCCTCTGGAAACTCTATGAACTTTGATAAATGTCAATAGTTGTAGAGAGGCTTCAGGCTTTTTGTTCATAGGGTTGCTATGAGTCATGCTTGACTTGAAGGCAATCAACAACAACAAAACGTTATTACAGTTTGTTGTAACACAATAGTCATTCTGCTGTGCATTCAGTCACTTTTGTATGAATCTTCTAGCTATGGTCTTTTAACTCCCACTCAGTCATTGACTGAGACTATGCAAATGAGGTACTTGTGGCCCACCAAGGGGACTGGACAGTTTGCTAATAATGCAAGTAAGGTATGTGATACACTTCTAGGAGTGAGACCACATATGAACTCCTGAGGAAGAGATTGGTCAGTTTTGCTATCTTGATAAGCTTAAAATGAGCCATTTCAGTTGTAGAAAGTGGGGACTGCACTCCAAAGCTGGGAACGGCACACACCCTGGGGTCCTGAGGGCATTGGGAAGATATCTTCCTAGACCAGGACAGGAAGAGCAAGAGCTAAGTCATCAGATATGGCACAAGACAGTGTGGGGAAACAGTAGTAGCAGAGGTAGCAGAGCCAGAAAACAGGCAGCAGGCCTCGAATGCAAGAAACCTGAAGACCTTTGGCCAGGAGCCTGTTAACTGAAAGGGGTGCACTCATGGGACAAGAGAGTCGAGCACTTTGGTGCACGAAGGTTACAGATAGAGCAGTGCACTCATCAGTACCATTACATACATGTTATAAAAGCAGGATAGAGCCCAGGCCAGTGGCCAACAGTTTACCTGGGGGAAGTTTACCTGTGGGCACGATCAAGAAACTGTTTTAACTGAAAAACTGTACCCTGAGTCTTTCTGATCCTGAATTGTAACCTATTACCGCCTTAATAAACTCTGATTGTGCGTACAGTCTGTGAGTTCTGTGTGGCCATTGTCACAGTGAATTATCAACCTAGCTAAGAAGCAGAGAACACTGCAGGAGGGACAGTGAACATGAGCACTGAATACATGAGCATGTGTCTTACTCTGCCTCTGGCTGATGCTGGTTCTCTCCGGTCCAAAATGCAGACATCCCTGCCACACATTTTTACATATCCTCAAATTTAATTTTATTTTTAAAAGGGAATGGTGCAACAATGAAAAAAGAAAAAGGAGATGGTAAAATATTGCTTGTGTCAGGAGGAGAGTCTCTGAAAAATCTATGCCCAGATCAGCCTATGGGTGGAGGGAATGCACTCGGTTTACATATTTGAGATACAGCTTCTCAGAGCCCACAGATGTATGTGGCCAGACTGGACTTCTAAAATCTGGCATCTACCTTTTCTTTTTTTTAATGTATAATAACATATTGTGTTTGCTAATATAATGGAATATAAGTTTTTATCTCTCCTGGCTCACCTACTCAACTATAATGTCTACTAGGCTACTAAAATCAAGAGAAATGGATACAATGCAGTGGAGCCGGTAAAGAATTAGAGAATAACAGTACCATAATCCAACAGTTGAAGCAAAGAACACTGGTGGTGATGATGTTATGTGGGGGACGCCTGTGGAGTTTGAAAACTAGCTAGAAGCTCTAGCTAATAATTGGATGGATTAAAACCTGAGATTGTTATCAACAACCTGCTTAGTCACGCAGCTTTGGGGCTATAAATACAGCTGGCCCTGACCAACTCACCTAAGACCCAAACTCTCACCCTGTATTCAAGGACTTAAGACTTTAATATTCCTAGCCCCTAGGGAATAGTGTTCCCTGGCCTGCTGCTAAAACTCAGTTCCCATGGGAAACAAAAGAAATGACCTTCTGAATTGGTGATTAGTCTTTCTTAAGTGTGTTTTTGTTGTTGAAGTTCCCTCGAGTGGAACACGACTCATAGTTAACCTATGAACAAAAGACCTGAATCCTGTTCTATAACTAGCATCGTTTCTCTATGTTCATAGACTTTCCAGAGGCATGGTGGTTTAGGAAATGAATGCCAGTCCTGCTTCCAAACCTGAATCAATCTAGGAGCTCCACCAAACCCTGTCCATGATGGGTAAATATTATGGCATTTGACACACCAATGGCACAGTGTCCAGCATCTCTGCAACCCTAAGTTACTTCAGTAAAGCAAATTGATAGAACAGTGCTGTATCACTGAGAAAAATGTTAATCCCAAACACAACACCAGGCCCAAGACTTAATGGGGAGCCCAATCACATTGTAAATACAAGGCCCACCCACCAGGTCCTGGTTGACTCGAAACCAAGACACTTCCAGCCTACATCTCATTGTTAGCCTAATCCAGCAAATCCAATCAGCTCACACCCGACTGTGAACGAAAAAAAATGACCAGTCAACACCTGACTCTCACCAAGACAAACTGTCTAATAAAATCCAACCCTTATTATTTGTAGTTCTAGTATTAACTGATCCAGAAAGCATTAAAAGAAGATAGGAGTATACAGAGTCACTGTACATAAAAGAATTGGCTGACACAGAATTTCATGAAACAATGTATGATCAAGATCTTGTGGTGATGAAGGTGAAAGTTCAAGCTGCTCTGAAGGAATTGGCAAAAACAAGGGCCCAGAAATTGATGGCATAGCAATTGACATATTTCAACAAACAGATGCTGCCCTGGATGTGCTCACCAAATTGTGCCAAGAAATCTGGAGTACAATCTCTGTATTTGTTCCCATTCCAAAAATAGGGTGACCTGACAAGAGTATAGAGATTTTAGAACAGTATCATTATAGCACATGCAAGCAAGATCCTGCTGAAAATTATGCCAGAACAACTGGAACAGCACGTCAACAATGAACTGCCACACGTGCAGGCTGGGCTTAGAAGAATGTGTGGCACTAGGAATATTATAGCTAATGTTAGAAAGGTCTTGGCTGAAAGTAGAAAGTACCAGAGAAATGTCTGTGTTTCATTGACTATGCAAAGGCATTTGTGTGGATCACAACAAACTGTGGCTTAACTCTGAGAAGGATGGGAATCCATAACACTTGATTGTACTCATGCGAAACTTACACTTGCACCAGGAGGCAGTTGTTAGAACAGAGTAAGGAAACACTGCATGGTTCAAAACTACGAAGGGTGTACACCCAGGATGTGTCCTATCTCCATACCTTTTCAATCTGTATGTGGAACAGCTCCTCTGGACGTCTGGGCTCTATGAAGAGGAATGTGGCATCAAGACTGGAGGAAGACTTATCAACAAACTGAATTATGCAGATGACATAACCTTGCCTGCTAAAACTGAGAAGGACCTGAGGCATTTGCTGCAGAAAGTCAAGGACTGCAGCTTTCAATATGGATTGTATCTCAACATCAAGAAAATAAAGATTCTCACCACTGGGCCAATTGGCAGCATTATGATAGACAGTAAAGAGATTGAGATTGTTAACAGCTTCAGCTTGGTTGGTTCCACAATTAGTATTCTTGGTACCAACAATCAGGAACTCAAAAAACAAAGTCCATTGGGAAAATCTGCTGTCAGGGACTGAAGAGCAATTACATCAGCCTAGAGACCAAGGTGTGCCTGATCCAGACCATAGTCTTCACAATGACTTGCTATACATTAGAGAGCTGGACAATGACTAAGGATGATAGAAAAATTTATGTCTTTGACTTGTGGTACTGAAGAAGAGTATTAGATATACCATGGATTGCTAAGAGAACAAACAGGTTCATCTTGGAGAGGGTGAAACCAGGCTGCTCATTGGAAGCCAGGATTTTTAAGGCTCAGTTTTACAAACTTTGGACATGTTGCAAGAAGAGACCACTCCTTGGAGAGAGATATCATGCTTGGAAGGATGGAGGGAAAGCACAAGAGAGGAAGACCCTGGATAAGATGGATTGATTCAGTGACTGGGGTAATAGTGGTAGGTATGTTAGGAAACAATGAGGTTGGCTCAGGATAGGGCAGGGTTCAGAGTTGTTGTACATAGAATCCCTATGAGTTGCAAGTGACTCGAAAGCACATAACAATATTAATTTACATTATGGTTTAAATTATGAAGTGAACCATAATTTGTCCTACTGGCCAAATAAGAAACTGTTGCCTATGTTTCAAACAACTAATTCACTTGGAATTTTTATTTTTAATAGGAACTATTTATACATGGATTCTGATTTTCAGCTGGTTTTTATTTTTGCCTTTGGTTTGTGTGATCGAGATATGTAGACATGGGAGCTCTGGTGGTCGAGTGGGAAGAATTTGCACAGAAACCCCAAATGCTGGTGGTTCAAATCCATCAGCTTCTCTAAGAGAGAAAATGGGTAATCTCTTTCACAATTTTTAGCCTCTGAAAACCCACTGGAGGGTTAGCTTTGAGTTGGTTCTGAATTGGCAGGACATACATTTTTTTTTCATAGCAAAAGGCCAGTGCCTTCACATGCTTCACTAATTGCCATGGAGTTGGGACTTAACTGATAGTGAACACTCCATTGGGTTTCTGGGACTGCATATTGGGTAGGAGCAGATTGCCCATCTTCTATCTCAGAGCTGCTGGTGGATTTGAACCACCAGAGAGGAGTGGTCTTTGGCTTAACAGCAAAACTATTTATTGTTGTTGTATGTGCTGTTGAGTCACTTGCAACTCATAGTGACAAGAGCTCTGAACTCTGCTCTATCTAGAGCCAGTTTCACTGTCTCCAACACATCTATTCCCATTACTACAGTCCCTGAG